GTAACTTAAATAGCTTATGTGTATCTTGTACATGCTTTGATCTAATAAAGATACTGGCAAGACTGCTGATATTTTTTTAAAAAAAAAAAAAAAGATATTGAAAAAAAATCAACTTTATATATAATTAAATTTTTTTAGATCGCTATATGTTTTTTCTAGATAGTACAAAAAATTGATAATTCTGATTGGTCAAATCATATAATATTTACATATAAATCATATAATATTATATATACAAAGTTGATTTACAATTTATTTTATATGAAATTGGAAATTTGTACACCCTACTCTTATTCTGCTACAATTATTCTCATTTTGGGCCCTATTTGTAATTATTTTCATTTTTGGGCCCTTATTTAGAGGTTTGTTAAAGCCATGTACCCATGTGACTTTTTATATGTAGATCAACCAATCATAATCATGAAATTTGATCATCCTGAAGAAGTCAAAAAATTAAAAAATGCAAAGATATAAAAAATAGCATTTTAAACCTGTCTTGGTATATTAAAAAAAAAATGTCAGGAAGATAATTTTACCTATAAACCTACTCTCATCTTAATATTAAACTAACATTGATCCTAATTACAATTAAAATTTTAAAAGTCACATGGGTATATAGCTTTAACGGTCCCCTTATTTGTAAATTCTCCTATTTTTTAACATAGACAAGTAAAAAAGTTACGTGTAAAATGAAACCCAAGAAAACCGTGTTATAGTTAGGGTTAAGATTAAAAAAAATATAATGTTTATGAATAAAACATCACAAGAAACATTTTTAATTAGGCCGCAGAAGGTGGCTTCCTAATTAAAATTTAGAGTTATTATTGTTTTTTGTAAAAAAGTAGATTTTTACATTACACCTGATCCTGAAATTCGACTAGTTAAAATTATGGGTATCTTTATGTCAAGAAAATCCTGAGCTGCTGGCCAAAAAAATATAGGTCGTAGTATCTCAAAAATTCCCTATATATCTAGCATTAACAATTATATTTTATAAATAAAATTTCATTTTGAAAACTTTTATTTAGAGGTCGGAAGTTAGTTATCATAGTAAATTTTTGTGTTATTTACATTTTTTTACAATTTCTTATGTTTTTCGCATTTGTTTTGTTATACAAGATCCTGTAATTTTATTGGATCCGAATAGGGTCGGAAGTGATCTTCAGCTCAGGATTTTCTTGATATAAGGGTACCCAAAATTACAGAGGTGAACAATTTTTTGTGGGAGAGCTAGGGGCATCTGAATAAGTGGTATCCCGCATTCAAAGCGATGAACTACTGACGATAATTTGCATTGTTATACTATTTGTAATTATAATTGGTTATAATTGCTTGATATATATTATTTAATATATTTTTCTGAATCAAACTAATTATTTTTTTTAAAAACCCAAGTTACGATTTATTTTGAAAGAGCTTAATATATTGAGGAAAAATACTGATTTATTTCGGTGAATTTTTACCGAATGAGTATAATAAATTGTATATACCTTATGATAGGTTGTAATAAACAAACGTATAAAAATCATGCAATAGAAAACTCGGCCTAAATGAAATATTGGCAGTATGAAGGATATTTTATGACATCAGCGAGATGAATCACAGACTCATTTTCATCTTTTTGAAATGTTATGTGATGATATTGATATATTGTTGTGCAACGATTCATTAATTAATGATATAGTCGATCTTGGATCTTCCCAGTTCTCACTGAATGAAGAAGAGCAGAATGTTCTTATGGTATGCATTTTTATTATATGATAATTTTTATACAGGAACTGCAGCTATTTAAAAATTTTAATACTTCGTGAATAGGGTGAAAGGAGTTCTATAAAGGGGTTAAGCAAAGATGCTTTGGTAAGACAAGTATGTGCAGATTTTATTACAAAGAGAAATTATGATATTGTCGTCTGAGAAAGTGACTATGCATATTGGGTTGAACAAGAATACGAAAGAGATAATCTTTTACTGAAAATAAAATCGAATATTTTTCGTCGAGTTTCTAATAGATCTGAGAGTTCTCTTGTTGAAGCTATTACATACTTAATTAAGAGCTTCTTTATGCTAGTTACCACTTGAATATGACGTTAATGTAGTTAGAGGTGAAAAACAGAGCATTGCTAGCAAGAATCAGAAGGTGTTAGAGGAAAGTAGATCAAGAGAAGAGCATCTTTGAAATAGAAGCAGTATGAG